AAACTGCAGTCTAGCTTGGTGTATGGAAACACTCCAGCATGGGCTACAAACACACAACAATAGCCTGAAATTATTGGTTTATACCACACAGGTTCCATTTCAATATTCTGCAGGACAGAGCACCTAAAGAAACACCATCTGATTTAAAAAAATCTGAATCCTGCAGATTCCTCCAGCCTGGGAGAAAGTGGAGCTGACTGCTAACCAGACCGCTGCTTTCCCTGAGCTGCCTTGGCAGGACAGTACAGAGCCCGCCTGAACATGGGTTTGGAGCTTTTCACTAAAGATACTAGAATTCTCTGATGTTTCCTGTGGAACACTGCCTCCAAAGGGAAAGTCATGCAGCTACAAACAATTAAAGGAAAGTAGCTGTCTTTCAACATAAAGATAGGTGTGTATGTTAAGAATATTTAATTTGGTAACATAAGCAAGCCCTACTGGGACTGCATGACAAAACCAGTATTATCAGTTTATCTTACTCAAATTATTGCTATGAAAAAAGTAAAGAGGAATAAATTTATATCTCGTATATATGTTAAGTGCTTTGTTTTTAAATTTCATCAGGTCATTTGGAAATATGAGAATGAAGAGGATCCTTTTTCTATTTTCAATATTTCACAACAAGAAAGTGCAATAAAGTTGCTGTTTTTTAAAAAGAACAATGTTATACACTATTTCCCACATTATCATTGAAGCTGCTACAGAAACTTTTTACATACTGAAAAGTCAATTTTAGATAAAAGAAATATATGAACTATTTCTGGTATATTTTTTCCTTTTAAAGTACTTTATCATCCATATCCAAAAATATTAAAGAAATATTAAGTTGGCAGTTCCTTTGCACCAGATGCTGCTCTTTTAAAATTATTTCTCATTTTAAACACAAGATAAAGACCTTACAAAACCCCACTGAGTGTGGAAAGAAAAACAGGTTATATTTTACAGCTTGTATTTTGCAGAGGTATTTGAAAGGGTCAAATTGTGGAAAGGGTAAAACCTGCTCATTTTACTCATAAAACCGGTATTATCATCTTCAGACAAAATATATCCAACAGTGAACAAACAAGCAAATGTTTGTACTCATACTGCCCAAATGTTAATGACAAGAAATTAATATTACCCTTTTGTTTAAAAATTATTACTTTGTTCCTTGAAATCAGTGGCAAAACTTAGCTTCAGTGGGAATAGTTTCAAGCTACTGCACGTAATACTGTCTGCGATAGTGCTCATGTAGCAGTGCAAAGCCACGACAAGCTCCTTGCTGTGCCCCTTTGCCTGTGCTCTGCTCACTGACCCATTTCTATCACAACGCCTTTGGATACGCCAATGCCCTGAGCACAACTGCACTGAACAAGCTGGCAGGCTTTACTGCTTACCTGATCTTGAAAATACAAACTGGAGACCATCCCCATAATACTGCTGAAAGCCTAGAACATTTCCAAAATGTATGGCTGACACAGAGCCTGTGATAGCAGGAAATGGTATGGAGGTCATTTTGCCTAGCTTGCATATGGTAATCTTGGCTTCACCAACGGTAGGTAAAATTGTCTTCGTACAGTCAGAGTGCAAATCTTTGACAACGCTGTCTGCATTCAGTGAGTGTGTCAGAGAGTGTGGGATGGAGATAACAGGGCCACATGCCAAACGTCCCAGAGATCATCTCGTGAAACATACCTGAGTACCTCATTAAGGACTATTTACTACTGCTTCTCAGCTTGGCCTCCCTCAGTCTTTCAAATCACTTGTTTTCCAGTAAAACTGTCGAACAGTCATGACCTTCTCTCCTTGATCTATGCAGCACACTCCCTTCTCAAAAGGTTTGTTGCACAACAGGGAATGTTATTAAGTGAAGACTAATAGCTCTCCTTTCAATATTTGAGATTTCAGGGCTAATAAGGGAGAGAATGGTCCCTAGTGTAATACAGAAAAGCCTCCAGATAGTCCTTTCCCACCAAGGTCCCACCAGGAGTTAGGAACATGTCTGGCATAAAGCCACCTGGGCCAGTAGAAGGAACCCAGAAACTTCCCTGTGGACCCAGAAATCTACCTTTTGCATACACAGACGCTTATGAATAAAGACCTTAACATTGTAAGTTTAATAGTGAAAACTGACCTATCCTGTAACTACAGTGCAATAGAAAACCTCAAGGTTTTCCCAACAATACAGTCAGCATGGCA